GAACATCCAATCCACCTGTGTTTGGTAGCAGGGCCCAGAACAGACACACTTAGTTTTGTTCCTCATGAACATAAATTGGAGAGCGGGAAGCCTTCAGCCTTCCAGAGCTCCAGAATTTCTTTTCTTTTTTTTTTTAAAGATGGGGTTTCACCATGTTGGTCAGGCTGGTCTTGAACTCCCATCCTCAGGTGATTCACCCGCCTTGGCCTCCAAAGTGCTTGGATTACAGGCGTGAGCCACCATGCCCTGCTAAGCTCCAGAATTTCTTGCGCATCTTGGACAAGGAAGAAGATGAACAGTCCCAGAACCTGAAGAGGTGCTACACAGCCTACAGACACAAGCTGGAAGAGGTCCTCAGTGAGGTGTGGAAGCCCGATTAAAGCAGGGCTTCCTGCCCACAAGGCCCGGTGTGGTACCGACTTGCAGAACAGCACCAAGATCCTCTCTTCTCAGAGGGCTGCTGACTTGCCCCAGTATGTTAGGGTCTTCCCCTTCTTATCTGTAGATTTTGTTCCCCCAACCTGGTCACACAGCATCCTGCACCTTAGTGTCCCACATAAGGGACTCTGCAAGCTTGTTGCTCAGCACCTCAGCGTTACCTCTTGGCAAGCTGTGAACCTGTAGCCTCATCAAGAGCATTCCAGGGTGCTTGGCAGAATGAACGATGGGTTTTTTTTTCTTTATTTTCTTTTAGTTATTTTAACTATGTGATGATGCTGTTGAGCTTATGGGTGTGCAGATGATTTTTTAAAAAACTTAACGAGGAATCTATCTTTCTGAATACTTGTCCTATTTTAAAACTACCTGTCTCTCTCTCTCTCTTTTGAGGAATTGATCCATGTGAAGTGAAAGGCACAGGAATCTAGGAACTCTGAGAAATTGGTTGTGAAGGATTTTGCTGGGGGTTGACAAAGAGGAAGGCATAAGTTTGGAGAAGTGTGTGGCATGGGCGAGCACTGTGGGCTGTGGAAGGTTACTTGGCTTTTAAGTTAGGTGTAGCAGAGAAAGGGATAGTTGCTTATAAATGAGTTGAAAGCATTCAGTGTTGAGATGTTAAAGCCATTTGAGGATCTCTTGGTTTCCTGGTGGGTAAAATGTGGAAACAGAGGCAGAAGCTAGAACGAACAGAGGGACCCATGAACTCTACAGCAGATGGAACAGAGAATCAGGCAGGTGGAGCCTAGCATCCTGGGCTGACGTGGTCCTCATCCAGCTCGAACCGACCCACTAATTCTGCCCTTTTCTAGTGGAAGGTCTCATGGGTGTAGCTTCTCTGCAGTGGCAGGACAGTGACCATGTGCTAGCTCTTGTTAAGTTACATACAGTATATACTGTACCCCCCAGAGGTGGTTTTCAATATTGAGATGGAATTTGGGTAGAGGCGACTGTTTTTCCCTTGATTGTTAGCTAGGATATTTTATCAAGTAAACTTTTGTGACCATCACTCCCTTCCCTTTTATTCCTCCTTTCTTTTTCCTTTCTTCCCTTTTTTCTTCCTCCCCACCCTGCCTTGTTTCTTCCCTCCCTCCCTCTCTTCCCCCCTCCTTCTCCTCTCGCTCTCCCTTTCTTTTCTACATTGAAATCTGTTCTTACATATTATAGAACAAGGCTATTGAATAAAGACTCAATCCTACCCAATCTTTAGTTCTAGAGGACAACTTGACTGTGAGTAGGAGGGCCTCCAAGAAAGAGAGAAAAGTCCACACCCAGCTAATCACACAACAGGCCTTCATTACGGAAGTATTTTAACAAAAGTACATGTTATTGCCAACAAAAGAAATTGCAGGGGCAATAGAAGCCTTCCTTAAAACAGGCTAAATAACCTCATTTTATGCAGCAGTTTAATCAGAGAACAGAGGTAAATATGTGCAGTGGTTCTAGAGGGGCCTTATATTCTATTTTTCATCTAGATATTTTTGTTTATAAATTTCCAAGAAATTGTTAGCACTTCGGTGACACCTAATGGATTCTTTTTGAAATTCCAAGGTGTTTCAGTTCTTTGCCGAAGTGAACTGTGCTTTCATTGCATTTCTGTTCCTCTCTTGGTGGCTCTTCTGACTTTTCAGAGAATACCCATCTTGTTTGGAGGCAGACTTAAGTTGTTATGCTGTGCCACACAATCCACTGGGACAACCATATCTTCCTAGCATTTAAGGAAAGTTGAAAAAGAATAGAATTAACAGTGATCAAGTATGTGTGGTACATCTTGTTTAATTTTGCATGTAACTTCTCTTTAGTACATTGATGAGGTTTTAGTGACACTGTCATCCAGCATGTTACCTTTATTGTTCAGGGAATGCCTTTGTGATTTTTATGCTGGTTTTACAACTCAGACTATGGCATGGGTTTGAGTATATTCTTACCAGGCACTTGGTTTTTCACTTATTCATCTCAGTAAACTGATATTTTATGAGGCATTTGTTTCTCAGATTAAGATGCTGTTGGAACCTAAAGTAGTAGCTGATGGGTACCTGTAAATTTTTTTTTAACTACTTGAAGTAGATTGTCAAACTAGGCATCCTCATCTGTATTTATCCAGAAACTCACTCAATGTCATGTGCACTACAAATTGCAATTTAGAAACTTACTGTATTGAAATTATGTCAGTTCATGGTTCTTGAAGACTGAGGTTTTTTCCCAAACACTGGTTAGTGCAACAACATATTTAATGTGTAAGTGAAGAAAAAAGGCCAGATACTTTTTAAGAATCATTGTATAAGTCATTATGTTCAACTATCTAAGCTTTGCTGTCATACTGTTTTCTCTTCAGTGTGTGATGGTACAGGAATGATGTTAAATGAAGGGGTAGGGGCCGGGCGCATGGCTCACACCTGTAACCCCAGCACTTTGGGAGGCTGAGACGGGTGGATCATGAGGTCAAGAGATCGAGACCACCCTGGTCAACATGGTGAAACCCCGTCTCTACTAAGAATACAAAAAATTAGCTGGGCAAGGTGGTGTGTGCCTGTAATCCCAGCTACTCGGAAGTCTGAGGCAGGAGAATCTCCTGAACCCAGGAGGTGGAGGTTGTGGTGAGCCAAGATCAGGCCATTGCACTCCAGCCTGGGTAACAAGAGTGAAACTCCATCTCAAAAAAAAAATATATGAAGTGGTAGTATTGTGGGAGAGCATCTTAAATGGCAGAAGTAAAAAGTTACGATATTTATCATTTTGATGGGTTTAAGCTTATTTTTGTAGGGAAGATTTTTCTCCCCTAACATTGTTTCTAGATTGGCAAAATTGTTTCCATTATTAAAAATTGAAGTTATTAGTAAAAAAAAAAAGAATTGAAGGAGGAAATAAATAATTCAACAATAGTAGATGGAGACTTTAATACCACATTTTCAATAATGAATAAAGCAACTAGGCAGAAGGTCAATAAAGAAATAAAAGATGTAAACAACACAACATACCAGCCATCTATAGAATACTCCACCTTACAAGAACAGAATACGCTCCCTGTCAAGTACACATGGGGCATTCTGTAGGACAGGCCATCTGCTAACCCTTAAAATAAATCATAACAAATGTAAAAGGATTGAAATCATATAGTTTTTGAGGTATCTCACTAACTAATACTCTCACACAGGAGAGTTGCAGGTTAGTATGGAGGGTGTGCAGGTTGTTGGCCCTCCTTCCTCCAGTTTGTCATGAAAGTTGAGGTGACCAGGGTTACACATGTGTAGGCCAGCAGCCCAGGAAAGTCAGGCAGCTGAAGGGAAAAGGCAGATATTCCATAAGTGCCTCCGTAGTGTCAGTCTCATAAAACCAGGGAGGAAGTGACACACAGTAGTGAGGGGGTGCATCAGGGCATCGCTTCTCTTCTGCCTATCTGTGCCTGTCATCAAAACCTCAGCTTCTAGCCCAATAAACCCCATTGCATAGGAAAGACTTTGATCACCACTGACTGCCACAGACCCATGACCTTGATTTTTACCACACTGCATCTGAGAGTATATCCTTAGGCCAGTGGCTTTGGGTCAATGCAAATCTTTAGTGTTCTATAAAAACTGCTTCAAACATACACAATAGTAACATGGTCTTGGTTCCCTGCAGCCGCAAACTCCTGGGACTACAGGCATGCACCACCATGCCAGGCTAAGTTTTTTTTTTTTTTTTTTTTTTGACTCGGAGTTTTGCTCTTGTTACCCAGGCTGGAGTGCAATGGCACGATCTCGGCTCACCGCAACCTCCGCCTCCTGGATTCAGGCAATTCTCCTGCCTCAACCTCCTGAGTAGCTGGGATTACAGGCACGTGCCACTATGCCCAGCTAATGTTTTGTATTTTTAGTAGACAGGGTTTCACTATGTTGACCAGGATGGTCTCTATCTCTTGACCTCGTGATCCACCCACCTCAGCCTCCCAAAGTTCTGGAATTACAGGCTTGAGCCACCATGCCAGGCCAGGCTAAGTTTTAAAAATTTTTTTGTAGAGGCAGCATTTCTCAAACTCCTGAGCTCAAGTGATACACCCACCCTGGTCTCCCAAAGTGCTGGGATTACAGGTGTGAGCCACTGCACCTGGCCTCAAAATCCTTATAAATAAATTACTCACACACTAAGCAGAATATTCAGGGTTTTTTTTTAATAGTATTAAAATGATGTGAAAAGCTGGAGAATCAAAGAATACCAAGACTATCTAAAAGTGTTAAATTTTTAATCAGAGAAAAATGACTTCATGACTGTCCTTAAGACACTGCTAGAACTTGGGGAAATAGGTATCCCTTGATGTTTTCTATGCATTTGCAATAATGAACAATGAAAATGTGGGTAAATTTTAGAAACAGAGAGGCCTGTGGTATTGTCACAAGGGTATACAAATGCTGAGAAAGACTTCTGAGAGAGTGGTCCCCATTGGTGGTGACCTTCAGAAGAGACCTCATGTTTCCACATGACCTAGGCACCTGGAAGGCAGAGATCCTAATATTCCATGACGCCTCCACCTAATTCTGTTATTGTGACTCCAGACCATTGCCTGGCACTTGGTCTTACCTCAGGACTTCCTATCAGAGCCTGAAGCACAGACAGTACCTTAGACTCTAAGCTCAGCACCTTGTACCTTGTTTCTGTGGCTAAGGATATTCAGAGTTGTGGGATGCTGACAAAGTTTATCCCAAAAGTAAGTTATGACTCAGATCTGCTTTCTTTAGACCCATTGATATCCTTTTTTTTTTTTTTAATGTAAAGAATCTTTTTTGAGGTATAATTTACATACTATAAAATGACCCATTATAATTGTAGAGTTGAATAATTTTTGGTAATTTACCCAAGTAGTGCAACCATTACCACAATCCATTCATTTGTTTTATTTTTTTTCCATTTATTTATTTTTTTTTAGACAGATTCTTACTCTGTCACCAGGTGCCAGGCTGGAGTGCAGTGGCACGATCTCGGCTCACTCTGCCTCCCAGGTTCAAGCAATTCTCCTGCCTCAGCCTCGTGAGTAGCTGGAACTACAGGCACATGCCACCACACCTAGCTAATTTTTTGTATTTTTTAGCAGAGACGGGGTTTCACCATGTTGGCCTGGATGGTCTTGATTCTTTTGACCTCATGATCCACCTGCCTCAGCTTCTCAAAGTGCTGGGATTACAGGCATGAGCCACCACACCTGGCCTAGTTGTTTTGAATGTATTATTTGTTTGGGTTTCTTCTCCCTAGGCTCTGGCTCTACTTCCTCCACAAGCTTCAGCATGGCAGTATCTCCCACCACGTGTTTTGGTCCAAGGGCAGAAATGAGCATCCTGAAAACCAATCAGTACTTGCGCTCTGAAATGGAAAAATGCCAGCAGAACTTCTGAGACCTCAAAGAGAAATTCCTGACATCCAAAGCTACTGCCTACTCCCTGGCCAACCACCTGAAGAAATACAGCAGGTCCCATAGGGGCACAGTCACCAAAGCAATAAATGATCCTCCATCTTTTCTCTGTGTAATGAAACACTGCAGACTTTATTATCTATCAGAATTAATTGTATCCTGACTACACTCCCAGAAAGGTAGAAGTGGGCATTTTACTCTCAATTGGCTGGGGACAGAAAAACTGAAGTACAAATGTATAAAATTTGCAGAGAAAGTGTAGTGAGAAATAGAGACTAAAACATTGGTTTAGGAAAGAAACTGTCCTTCCCTCTCAGCAATCCATATCAGCTTCTACAGACATGTAATACCACTGTTGGTAAAAACATCTCAGGATTCAATTTCAACTTTTTTAAGAGCACCCACTTGCAAAGAACTGTGCCAACAGCACCAAGGCTGAAAGAAGTAATAATGTGCCCTATCTGCCTTGAAGGAACTTAACTGCCTATTCTCAATGAGTTACCAATATGTGGACATGGGAACTTCAATAGCAGACATGGAGAAAAGCCTTGCTGCCTGGATCAATATTCTCTTCCCATTTAAGTTCAGATAAGCCATTCCTCATGCTCTGGTTAGATTGAGGATATTTCCAGAAAATCAGAGACTTTGTAACAGCTTTTCTGTCTCTCCCCGTGTATCAGCTTTGCGGACAGCAAGCAACTGCAGGTGGACCTCCAGGATCAGAGTTATGAGACACATGGCCAAAATGAGTACAATACCAAGTGCAGCAGACCCCTGTTCTCAGTAGAAGGCCAGGCCAAGGTAGAGGCTGGCTCTTTCTTCCCCACAGTCAGCTCTCACATTGGTAAATCCACTGTGAAATCCCAAACATGTTACTAATAGTGGAGGAAGGGAGAAGCTGTAATGACAAGGAAACATGGGAACAAGGGCATGAGAGGAACAGGGATTTGGAGGAGGACTCTGGTTAACATTGAAATTGAGTCTGCTTTCCAATTTCTACAATTATTTTAAAATAAATCATTGCAGGGGGTGGGGTGGCTGAAAGTTGCTGTCTGGCTTACTGTCATAGAAAAGTAAAGCCAAAAGCCCACTTATTAAAGAAGTGAAAAGATGAGCTTTGGTATGCAGAAACACTCATCTTTTTTTAAACTTCATTCATTATCATTATCATTATAATTGTAGCACAACATTCTCTCAAGCTAGAGAAGAAAAATATTACCTGAGACCTTAGTATAAAGGTATTATTGTGCAATGATTAAAGAGCATATATCCCAGAGCCAAATTTCCTGGGTTCAAATCTAACTTATGGTCACTCTGCCTCAGTTTTCTCATCTGTGCTGGCAATAGATTAGTAACAACCTCTTTGGATAGTGGTGATGGTCACCTGACGATAATTCTTACAAACCTACTGTGACAGTACCATGACAAATGCTATGTTGATTCTCCCTTTAAAACACCACCTGTCAGCATTTGGGCTTATCTCATTTGGATCTTTCTCCTCCATATACAGTTTTACAGTTATATCCAGATGAATATTTAAATCTTTGAAATGTTTTGGGATTATTGAGATTCTTGAAACAGGAGAACTATCTGTCCTACACTTCTTAGTATCTTCCCAAACACACAGGAAGTCATTATTTCATTCCCTCATGTTCATGTTTTACTTAAGAGGCTGTAAGGCTTGGTACATTGGCCTGAAGATTTGAAGTCATGGCTGGGCATGGTGGCTCATGCCTGTCATCCCAGCACTTTGGGATGCCAAGGTGGGAGGATCATTTGAGGTCAGGAGTTTGAGACCAGTCTGGCCAACATGGTGAAACCTGTCTCTACTAAAAATGCAAAATTAGCTGCGTGTGGTGGTGCACACCTGTAATCTCAGCTACTTGGGATGCTGGAGCAGGAGAATTGCTTGAAACTGGGAGACAGATGTTGCAATGAGCCAAGATTGTGCCACTACACTCCAGCCTGGGCAACAAAGTGAGACTCCAGCTCAAAAAAACAAACAAACAAAAAGATTTAGAGTTAGACCTCAGGGGATGTGAATTCTGACTTTACCTCGTTCCAGTTGAATCATCTTGTTTAGTTACCTTATCTGCCTATGGGCTTTTCTTTCCTCATCTCTAAAACGGGGAGTGGTTGAGAGATTGAGAAATAAAGATATGAAAATACCAGTGTAAAGCCTGGTACTGGGGATGCTTTTATCCTTGAGATAGACCCTGCCTCCTGCGCTGCAGGCAGTGACCCCACAGCAGCATGTCCAGCCTCTGACTGATGCAGGCATGCCTGTCTTTTCTCAGAGTGTGAAGAGGCAAAGATCTTATAGAGTCTGTGCTGGAGGAGGAGCTGGAGTTTGAGGAGAGGGAACTGGCTGAGTTGCCGAGACCAGCTGCAAGGCTCCGGTAAGGAGGTACCTCTGTGGGAAGTGAATCAATACTGTTTGAAGTGGGGCAGCCCAGGCTGGTAGAAGAAAGAGCAAGTTTGTGCAAGGAGAAAGGCAGAAATGTACAAGCAGACACAGAACTAGACTATGGCACAATTAGGCTATGGAATAATTAGGTCTCTAGGGTTGTCCATTAAATAGTATATTAATCAAATGGAGACAGCTTCCTGCATTGGAATACTAGCAATGTGGCTTCTATCTGTGTGTCCTTGGTCAAATTTACATCACTTTTCTGCATGTCATCTACCTAGGCTACCTCATTTATAAAATGAAAATACTGACAGTATCTACCTTAGGGGGTTATGAAGATTAAATGCACAATTGTAAGTAGTTAGAACCATCTCTAATGCATATAAAACCCTGAACAACAATTTTCCGTTAGTATTATATTTGTTCCCATTTATAGATGTGGTGATTATCATTAATGGACTAACATTTTCTGTAAGAGATGATTTTCAAGCTTTCTGAAGTGCCTTTCATGATAGAATATTTCTTCTCCAAGCTTTTTAAAAAAAGCATTATTCTATGTGGAGTACTAACCGGTAGTGCTATTGGATAGATGATTGAGCAGCTGTTGAGTGGAAAATGAATTATTAATTTGCTCAGGACCAGCATTGCCTATCCTTACAGGGTTTCAGACAAAAGGTAGATTATAGGATTCAAAACTTCTTTTAATCCTTTGTTGAAATGAAATCATAGACACTCAAATGTGTAAAACTCACCAAAGCAGAGATATTTGATTGAAGGGGGGATAGGTCTGGAACCCTTTTCTGCTCAGTGTATATCTTAACTTTCCCTGACACTTTCTAGAAACTCTAAGGACTAGAGTTTGAAAGATGACCTGTAGATAACTACTTAGAAGAACAGCATAGCAGGGAGGCATTCAGGCATTAGATGGGGTAGATGACTGTAAATGTTCACTCCAGCTCTAGGATTACATGGTTCTACACATTAACTGAGTAACCACTTGTATGTGTGCATACTACTGGGTGCTGTACACTGGGTAATAGGTGGCTCTGTCTTTAGATTCACAGAGCTCACATTCTACATTGAAACTCATGAGTATTAGTCCATTCTTACACTGCTATAAACATATCTGAGACTGATATGTGAGACTGAGACTGACTTATAAAGAAAAGAGGTTTAATTAGCTCATGGTTCTGGGGGCTGTACAGGCTTCTGGGCAGGTCTCAGGAAACTATCATTGTGGAAGTTGAAGGGGAAGCAGGCGTGGTCTTCACATGGCCAGAACAGGAGAGAGAGACAGAGCGAAGAGGGAGGTGCTACCCTTTAAAACAAGCAGACCTCATGAGAGCTCACTCACTCCCACAAGAACAGCAAGGGAAAAATCCATCCCCAGGATCGAGTCACTTTCCAGCAAGTCCCTCCCCAACATTGGGGGTTACAATCCAATGTCACTTTTTTGTGGGGACACAGAGCCAAACCATACCACCATGAGAAATATTTATACAATAATAAGAAAACAGTGAAATCCCACATAGAGTAACAAAATTACTACTCAGAGCTTTACTTTTTTCTTTTTTTGGAGATATTGTTCATTGCCTAGGCTAGAGTGCAGTGATGTAATCTCAGCTCACTGCAACCTTCACTCCCCCTAAGGTTCAAGCAATTCTCCCACCTCAGCCTCCCAAGTAGCTGAGAATACAGGTGCATGCCACCACACTGGCTAATTTCTGTATTTTTAGTACAGATGGGGTTTCACCATGTTTGCTAGGCTGGTCTTGAGCTCCCAACCTCAGGTGATTCACCCTCCTCAGCCTCTGAAAATGCTGGGATTACAGTGTGCCTGGCTAGAACTTTAGCTTAAATTGCCTTCTTACTGGTTATGGCTTACCTTCCTGTCATTCAAAAGAATACTATCCTTAACCTTTTCACTGATTTTTCTTTTTAACTTTCAATTAATGCTAGAGATGTCTGCCCAACACTTTTGAACCTGTTTTTTTTTTCTCTTTTGCCATTTACTGCATAATACTTGATGTGTATATATGAAAATGTACTTGGGCTAAAGTGGGGAACCAAAGGGTCATCTTTTTAAAGTAGAGTTAAACCAGACAAACCTGAGGCTGTTTCTTCATTTCCTCTACCTCAGGCAAGTCAAACAATGTGTAGAAGAATTCATCTTGGGCCAGGTGTGATGGTTCATGCCTTTAATCCCAGCACCTTGGGATGCTGAGGTGTGCATATCATTTGAGGTCAGGAGTTTGAGACCAGCCTGGCCAACATGACAAAACCCCATCTCTACTAAAAATATAAAAATTAGCCTGGCATGGTGGTACAGGTGGCACCTGTAGTCCCAGCTACTTGGAAGGCTGAGGCAAGAGAATTGCTTAAACCGAAGAGGTGGAGGTTGCAGTGAGCCAAGGTCACGTCACTGCACTCCAGCCTGGGTGACAGACTCTGCCTCAAAAAAAAAAAAAAAAAAAAAAAAGAGAGAGAGAGAGAATTCAACTTGGGGAGTTTCTTACAGGGATTCTAAGAGATCTCTCCTATGAAACGCCTATAACCTATTATTCACTACATTCCCTCTTACATTTTACTCTTCTTTCCCATCTTAGAATACGTGATCCCTTAATCCAGGCTCAGGCTGAAGAACTGACCCACTTATGGCAGAAGATATAGGAAGGGAATCATATTTGCTACCTTTTCACCCAGCATGTGAAGAACACAGTCAAGAACACAGTCTCTTTTGACGGCCTCCTCAGGAACACTGGCATTGCCTAAGGCCAGAGACAGAGATTCTGTAAGCAAATGGTAGAAGGAAGCCAGCCGACAGAGATCCTTTCCAGAAACCTCACAACAGGTAAGCTGGCTACAGGCTCCGAAGACCCTTAGCTCCACCCAAGTCCTCCAAAGTAAGGAGAAAAAATACAAAGTTATCTCCATTGTAGATTTTATTTTAGTTTGGACTATGGTCCTAAATCCGCATTCTATGTTTTCTCTTTAGAGCACTCAGGTAATCACTTTCAGTATTCTTTCAAGAGTTCTTAGTTTTGTTGTTTGAGATAGAATCTTGCTCTTTTACCCAAGCTGGAGTGTAGGGACAGGATCTTGGCTCTGCAATCTCTGCCTCCTGGGCTTCAGCAATCCTCCCACCTCAGCACTGTGCCTGGCCTGAAACTTCTTAGTTTCAATCAGTAAGAGAGATAGAGTATAGTGGATTGCTTCATCTTGATGAGTAAAAGAACTCGCCTTAATTTCTGGAAGATATTTTCACTGGATGTAGGATTCTAGCTGACAGTTTTGTTTTTGTTTTTAAAAAGTGTTTTAAGGCTGGGCACGGTGGTTCACCCCTGTAATTCCAGCACTTTGGGAGGCCGAGGTGGGTGGATCACAAGGTCAAGAGATTGAGACTATGCTGGTCGACATGGTGAAACCCCATCTCTACTAAAAATACAAAAAATTAGCTGGGTATGGTGGCACATGCCTTTAATCCCAGCTACTCAGGAGGCTGAGGCAGGAGATTTGCCTGAACCTGGGAGGTGGAGGTTGTGATGAGCCGAGATTCCACCATTGCAGTCCAGCCTGGGTAACAAGAGCAAAACTCTGTCTCAAAAAAAAAAAAAGTGTTTTAAAAGCGATATTTTACTGGCTTCTGGCCTACATTGTTTCCTACAAAAAGTCTGTCATAATTCTTATTTTTGTTCCTCTGTACAAAATATGTTTTTTCCTCTGGCTGTTTTTGAGATTTTCTATTTATCACTGGTTTAAAGAAATTTGATTATAGGCTGGTGGATCCAAGATGGCCATTTAGGAACAGCTCAGGATTGCAGCTCCCAGTGAAAGCGCAGAGGGTGAGTGGACGCCGTGTTTTTATTGCCCACAGACTAGGAAATTCCCGGGCAGAGGTGCTCCACGGTCACCAGCGCGGCTGTTTCGGCCAGCGCGGCTGTGCCGGCCAGCGCCGGCCAGCGCCGCTGCTT